TTTATGATCTTTTTTAACTTGACTTTAAGATTTTAAATTACATGAAAACTTTATTTGTATTTATTGCATTTGTATTTACTTAATTCATCGATATCAGTTTACTTAGATCCTAGCTATTAAAAATTTAAGTTACTTTTTTATTAACCATTTTTATACCCTGTAAATTAGATACAAGGATCAAAATACAAACTCATAAATCTTATCAAAAAACTATAAATAAGCATTTCGATAAGACTTGTTATTTAAAAAATATAACATCACTTCTAAATTTTGTAAACATAGTAGTCATTTTAGAATATCTTGTTTAAAGGTATTAGCTAATTAGATCTTTCTAAAACATCACATCCCCAAACAAAATCTACTGGCATTATAGGGCCTAACGTGTCTCTGGCCCCCAAAGTTTGGGAGCAAAGGCCACTGTTCTCATAAAGGCTTTATGAAAATCTACTGACATTGAGATTAATAGAAGACTTAAAACTTATAGATGGACGCCTTTAGAATGAACACAAAGATGCAAGGGAAATTGCCCATTTTATTTGTTTAAAGTATGGACAGCTGCGTAGACAAAAAAGTTATATTATTTTAATGAATATAATGAACAAATATATAAATAAAATGAACAAATATATATATATAATAAATATATAAAGGGTATATAATATATACCCTTTTTTGGACAAAAAAGGGTATGAGCTAATTCTAACAGGCTTAGTGGCAGAACCAGCAAAGCATTTTATATTTAGAGTGTGCATTTTTCCTTTCTGTGTGTAGGACAAAGCCCTTTCTGGCATGGGGTTTTACAATAAAACAAAGTAAAAATAAAGTAGGTCAGATAATTGCTTTATGGCCATTTTACATACAATAATTTTAAGTTTTATGGCTAACTTCAGGGAAGAATTGGCACAAGAGGCAGGCAAGGTCAGAAAATTTTGTTTCTGAAGCCTTTAATTTTTTTTTTTTTTTGAATCTCATCAACATAAGATCTCCTGGCTGTAGACTGAGGAAACAAAACTTTCAGCACCAATTGTTAGCACCTCAAACAATGATACAAAGTGGTAACATGCTTTTTACATTAGGCTCAAGATTAAGCTGTTTTAAAAAACAATTTAAATGGTCTCAAAACAATTTTTAGTGCATAAACTTGAGCACATTTATAGAGTAAGATTGTTTTGAGATTCTCATGGATTTTAACCATAATTCACTTTTTTTCTTAAAGTAAATTGCTATACAAAAATTAATAATTTAGAAATTTTTTTCTAGGCAAAAACTCTGTTACAGTAACATAATGTACACATAACCAGCTAGCTTGTAAAGAGTAGCACTAAAATGGACAAGACCAAGGGAAAACTAAAGCTTCCGATTTAAATTCTTTAACTAGAATTTTTAGGACAATTTTTAATTCCTAACAGTACTGTTAATATTAGATGATGGTGAGTTAGGCACACCTTGGGTACCTCTCTACAGGCATTTAATCAGTGGAAGTAAACTATATCTGCAGTTAGGATTAAAAGACCAAAACCAAAATGTTTTTTATAAACCTTTGACGATTAAATTTGGGTTTTTGCTCTACTTGGTGTTTAATTCATTCTAATTTTCTGACACTTAGACACATTTGCATTTTTACCTTAAAGTTAAACACATACGTATTTTTGTTGGTAACCCAGACTTAGTGATTATCATTTGACCAAATATTAAATTTACTTTACTTATCAAAAATCACACATTACTTTGTCTTTGGCTGAATTTACATTTTTATAACCTTTATATCAAATCTTTACACCTCAAAAACTTAAAAATATCCAGTAAAACCCAGGCAAAAACAAATGTATGCTGACAATTTAAAAGCATTTTTACTATCACTTTACTAATAACACCTTTTTATTTTTTTAATAATAACACAGCTTATTTACCAAAGATTACTAAATTCAGGTGAAGCATTCGGGTTTAATTTATGAGCGCTCCCTTAATTTTAAACCAGTCCGAAACCACGTAAGCACAAACACGTAATACACGGACAGACATAAAACATACCCAAACATATACACTCTCTCACACACGTACACACACACACACACACAGTTCTAATAAATTTTACCATAGAACTTTAGCCATGAAATGGTAACGCAAACTCACCAGTCTGTAAAAGAAAGCTGGATCTAAATTTCTTCTGATGGGACTGGAACTTGTTTACATGGCAAACTTTAGTTGACCTGATAGGTAACTTAATTAGGCCTGTGGATCACGGTTTTGGGTAAAGCAGTTTCCATGGCAGTTTGATTTTTTAAAAAACCTTTACCCTCCCTTTTCTTTTCAGTTTAAAATAAGTTTTCAGTGTTAGCATTTTAGCAAGAATTGGCAGCAGGGTCTCCAGGTAGCCTTTCAATTGTAAATACTGTAAACAATGAGTTATCTTAACATAAATAGAAAAAGTTAGCAGGTTTTAGAGTAGCCAGAAAAGGAGAGAGATAGCTTAAGACATTTTAATAGTGGGGGGGTCGACCATTTCAGCTCTGAATTTTCCTTGATGTAATTTTGCCCTTTAGTAAAAACTTGTGCACAAGAATTAGCTATAAGGCCGGGCGTGGTGGCTCACGCCTTTAATCCTAGCTCTCTGGGAGGCCGAGGCGGGCGGATTGCTCGAGGTCAGGAGTTCGAAACCAGCCTGAGCAAGAGCGAGACCCCGTCTCTACTATAAATAGAAAGAAATTAATTGGCCAACTGATATGTATATAAAAAATTAGCCGGGCATGGTGGTGCATGCCTGTAGTCCCAGCTACTTGGGAGGCTGAGGCAGGAGGATCGCTTGAGCCAGGAGATTGAGGTTGCTGTGAGCTAGGCTGACGCCATGGCACTCACTCTAGCCTAGGCAACAAAGCGAGACTCTGTCTCAAAAAAAAAAAAAAAAGAATTAGCTATAACCAGCCAGAGCCCTAGAAAACCTGGCATGCCTTTGAATCTTTTCATTTACAAAAATACTTGCAAGTAGAGGCGCTGCAAACCAACTGGGGTTGCCCCAACAGGAGTCATTTTCCTTGTTCTTCCTCGTTCTTTAAGAATTTGTTTCTCAGTTTTTTTGTTTTCAAGGAACTGAACTGTGGTCTAGAGTTTGGTGTCCTGGATCAGAGTGTGCTGCTTGTGGGTGGGGCTCCTCAATTTTTCACCACTGAGTGGGTTCCATCCTCTTAAGTGTCTCAGTTTCTCTCTTTGGGGGTCTAGTACCTCTGAGAGGCCTCAAAATGCCTAGTGATCAGCTCTCATAAGCGTTTCTTGAACTAGCCTTCTTTTAACTAATTTGTTGGGAGGCTCTCTGTGGGGCTACTCACGCCTCAGGGAATCGTCCCAGGCAACTCCCAATCAGGGCCCTGGTCGCCCAGGGCTGCCTTAGGTCTGGGAGGAGTAAGCTGCTCCTTATGTTCAGAGCTGAGAAACTCAGTCTCTCATCTATATATAAATAGGACAGTTGGGTCCTGTCCTGTGCAAGGATGCACAGACGTGCAGACAAGCCAATTGAAGCTAGTTTTGAGGAAAAAAGGCAACGGAGAAAGTGCTTTAGAGTGCACCTCCAAACCTAAATTAGGATCCCAAACAACAATTCCTAGGAAAAGGACCAGCTCAGAATAAACCAAGACCATAAAAGAACCAGCTCAGAAAAACCAAGACCAATAAACCAAAAAACGGGAGGTCCAGATCCCAGGAGGACTTACCAGTTCCTGCCAAAGGAGAAGCCTGAAGTCCCAGGGCCTAAAAGGGCCATACCTGTAAGTGGCGCCTAGTTCCCGCTGCTACTTAGGCGGTCCTCAGTCTTCTCTGAGATCCTGCCAATTACGCCAAAATTGTCAACAGAAAAAAGCCAAACTCTGTAAAATAATTTTAAAGAGATTTATTCTGAGCCAAATTTGAGGACCATGACCCGGAGCCACTGCCAAGAGGCCTTGGGCAAGTGGACTCGTTGTGGCTGGGTTAGTTTGGTTTTTATACATTTCAGAGACAGAGGTTATAGGTAAAGCCATCAATCAATTCGTGGGAGGCATACATTGGTTTGGCCCAAAAAGGTGGGAAATCTTGTGGGGGGGGGGCGGTTGAATAGGTGGGTTTAAAGATTCTTCAGATTGTAACTGGCTAAAGACATGAAGCTTTGTCTAAAGGCTTGCAATGTTTTAATATAAACTGTTTACCAGAGATAAGTCACCATTTCTTGCATAAAATAAGGACCTGCAGGTTTGTCTTGCATACCCTTAGGGCTGTTAATGGGTTACAAAGAAAGTATCCAAGAAGGGAGGGGGACATGATAAGGTATGTCTAACCTCCCTCCTCCTGGCAGGCAACTTTGCTTTAGGATATTCCTTTGGCCACAAGGGGGTTCATTTAGTCAGCCAGTGGGGGGGAGGGGTCGGCATTTTAGTTCACACTTTCCTATAACCTACTGTGTCTTCTTTCAGAAGTGTGTGCTGAATGCATTAGGCATGAATATTGGTGGCACAGTTTTACATCATTCTCTGCCCACAGCCATCCTCTCTAAATCAGAATCTTAATCGGAAAGGACACGGCACAGTGGCTCACATCTGTAATTCCAGCATGCTGGGAGGACAAGTCTAGTGAATCACTACAATTCAAAGTTTGAAACCAGCCTGGGGAACATAGTCAGACTTTTTCTCTCAAAAACAAATTGATAGGCCGGGCGCTGTGGCTCACGCCTGTAATCCTAGCTCTTGGGAGGCCGAGGCGGGCGGATTGCTCAAGGTCAGGAGTTCAAAACCAGCCTGAGCAAGAGCGAGACCCCGTCTCTACTATAAACAGAAAGAAATTAATTGGCCAACTGATATATATATAAAAAATTAGCCGGGCATAGTGGCACATGCCTGTAGTCCCAGCTACTTGGGAGGCTGAGGCAGAAGGATCACTCGAGCCCAGGAGTTTGAGGTTGCTGTGAGCTAGGCTGATGCCACGGCACTCACTCTAGCCTGGACAACAAAGTGAGACTCTGTCTCAAAAAAAAAAAAAAACATAACAAAAAAAAAACAAATTGATAACAGTCAGCTGGACCTGGTGTGTTATGCCTGTAGTCCCAGCTATAAAGGAGGTAGGGTGGGGAGGACAGTTTGAGCCCACAAATTAGAGGGTGCAGTGGGCTATGATCACCATACTGCACTTCACCCAGGGGAACAGAGCAAAACCCTGTCTCCACAAAAATAAAAATAAAAAATTAGTCTCAAAAGGGAATGACATTTCTCTTCCAGGAAATGGGAAAGAAATGATTCTCAGTAATCAGCTAACACCTGTCATTCTATCGATTCTTTCCTACACACCACAGAAAATCCTGGTAAGGAAGACATGTAGAGAGATTTCAAAGTTCAGGATGAAAGTCATAAAGAATAAAGTAGCCTTTTGAAAGAACATCAAATAATTAAATATAATATAAACTAATATAACTGACCATGTCCACATGTCCTTGCATCTTTGATATGTATCGTGTCATGAGGGTCAATGTATTTTGATTTACACCACCACATAATATCATAGATTAACAGCAGAGAACTAGGGACTGACTTATTTCTTCTATACATCCCCAGATGGTCCACAGTAATGGTCCTTGGGTACTAGCCTCACCATAAACATTTCATTGGCATGGTTTCATTGAAGGCGTACCTTTTGATGTGTAGTGAGTGGTGAGGCCTGGATAAAGCCCCTGCCACATACACTGCATGTATTTGATTTCTGTTTAGTATGGACTCTCTGATGTTGATTACTGATACAACTCATGGTGAAGAGTTTGCACCCTGAAGGAGTCTGCAGAGTCTCAAACCTTACCTCATACATTGCAATTATAAGGTTTCTCTCCAGTATGGATTCTGTGATGAGTTTTAAGGTTTGATTTGTCACGGAACGCCTTGCCACACTCATTGCATTTGTAAGGTTTCTCTCCAGTATGGATTCTGTGATGAATTTTAAGAGTTGTTTTCTCACGGAAGGTCTTGCCACATTCATTACATTTGTGAGGTTTCTCTCCGGTATGAGTTCGCTGATGACGTGTAAGGAGTACCTTTTGTCTAAAGGCCTTATCACATTTATCACAATTATAAGGTTTCTCTCCTGTATGGATTGTACGATGATTTTCAAGGTTTGATTTGCGACGGAAGACCTTGCCACATTCATAACATTTGTGAGGTTTCTCTGCTGTATGAGTTTCCTGATGACGTACAAGGCATGTCTTTTGTCTAAAGACCTTGTCACATTTATCACAATTGTAAGGTTTCTCTCCTGTATGGATTGTGTGATGACTTTTAAGGTTTGATTTGCTACGAAAGACCTTACCACATTCACTACATTTGTGAAGCCTCACTACAGTATGAACACACTGATGTCCTTCAAAGGTTGAATTGTAATTGAAGACCTTGCCACATTCGTTACATTTGTAAGGTTTCAGTCCTGTTTGGTTTCTGTGAACTTCAAGGTTTGTGTTCTGACAGACGACCTCGTCACACTCATTATGTTTGTAAGGTTTCTGTCCAGTATGTATTTCCTGATATATTGTAAGACATGTCTTGTGCCTGAAGTACTTGCCACACTCATTACACTTGTAAGGTTTCTCTCGAGTATGAATTGTCTGATGTCGAGATGGGTGTATATTTTCAGTGAAGACTTCACCAGGCTCACTGGATCTGTATGGCTTCTCTCCACTATGGATTTTCCAATGTTCCAGAAAGTCTGAATTTTGCCTGAAGGCCTTGCTACACTCTTTACATTTGAAAAGCTTCTTTCCAGTACAGATCACCCCTTGGTTAGGAAGGCTTGAAGAAACACTAAAGGCTTTGCTGTGCTCATTACCTCTGCAAGGTTCTTCTGTAACGTGTGCTTTGTGTTCTTCTCTAACTATGAGAGAACTGACAAAATCATTCTTATACTTATTAAATCTGTGGGTTTTGAGTTTAGAAGTAAGGTTTTCAAGTGGTGAAAGTGAGGTAATAGGGTTGATAGTCTTGTCAACTTCATTACATTCATAAATTTTCCCTTCAGCTTGAAATAGCTGCATTTCAGGCAGATGGAACTGAAAGCTTAATCCCAGTTCAGTTTTAATGGGCTTGTTTCCTGCATCATTTCCCAAGACACAGCTCCTCCCTAGGAAAGCAAGAAAAGAGTGGCATTTGAACCTATGGATCTGGCATTCCTAGAGTCTGAGAAAAAGACTAGCATCTGCCCCACCTGTCTCCCATATAGAAAGGAATATCAAGCCGGGCACGGTGGCTCATGCCTGTAACCCTAGCACTCTGGGAGGCTGAGGCGGGTGGATCGCTCAAGGTTAGGAGTTGGAAACCAGCTTGAGCAAGAGAGAGACCCAGTCTATATACTAAAATTGAAAGAAATTAATTCGTGAACTAAAAATATATACAGAAAAAATTAGCCAGGCATGGTGGCGCATGCCTGTAATCCCAGCTACTCTGGAGGCTGAAGCAGAAAGATCGCTTGAGCCCAGGAGTTTGACGTTGCTGTGAGCTAGGCTGATGCCACAGCACTCTAGACCAGGTGACAGAGTAAGACTCTCTATCAAAGAAAAAAAAAAAAAAAAAGAATGCATCAATTGTAAGATACTGGGCTATAAGGACAATGGACACCTTCCAGCTTCTGTTTACTGCTTGTTTGCTAACCGCAAGGCATTATGAGTATATTATGGGATGCAGAGGAAAAAGACAAAGAGAGTGGAAACCTGAGTCTCTCAGCTAGGACCTGGAACAGGTTAGGGCCTATCAGGGGCAGGCTGAAGTAAAAATCACTGTGGGGGTGGATGCATGACCAGTGTGTAAACAACTAAGTTATAAAAAGGGGACTAACACACAAAGGAGGGTCCCTGCCCAGGGAAGAGGCCACTGCGCTGGCACTCTGGGGGCTTGGACCCTGCTAGACAATAAAACTTCTTTTGGTAATTACAGCCTCAGTGACTCTGTCTCTCTGTCCTGCGGCCTTGTGAATCTCGAATATAACACAATTTGTAGAAATACACCATTTACCAACACTTAAACATGAAGAAGTAGTGAGGACTGAACTCTAATTTTTTGCTAAAAACTCCTTTCTAAGGAGGCCAGCTGGGTTAGGCTGACAAACGGTAAATTCCCACTAAGCGGCTTTTGTTAACCAAACGAAGCAGTGGTTTACTTCCTGACCTGATTCTGGTATGGCATTAACATCACCTAAAAGATAAGAAGCCCCTGTCTTAACTCAAGCATCCTAGCAGATGCCTATCATAAATTTAAAATATCTTAACTCAAGCATTCTAGCAGGCGCCAATTGTAAATTTAAAATGTCCTCCTGTCTGGACCTCCCAGAGTGCTCATACCCTTATCTTAAAGTAAGTATATCCTTTCTGGTCTTCTAGATAAAGTCTAACTCTCTCAGCCAATTGCCAGCCAAAGAATCTTTAAACCCACCTATAACCTGTAAGCCCCCCGCCCCCCTTCAAGATGTCCCACCTTTTTGGGCCAAACCAATGTATGCCTCTCATGTATTGATTTGTAACTTTGCCTGTAACCCCTGTCTCTCTGAAAATGTATAAAACTGAACTGTAACCCAGCCACAGCAAGTCCACTTGCCCAAGGCCTCTTGGCAGTGTCTCCAGGTCATGGTCCTCAAATTTGGCTCAGAATAAATCTCTTTAAAATTATTTTACAGAGTTTGGCTTTTTTCCGTCGACAGTAGAAATTCTAAACACACGAGTTAACAAAGACATTCATTCAGTGATCGTATATGTCCGTTTAAAGAAAAGCACAGAAACAGATGACTGCAATGTGAGTCTATCAAATATCTAAAAATATTTCAATATTTTTCAAATATTGAAAAATAAATAAACACAAACACTCCTTGAAATCTTTCAAAAATTAATGAGGGAGGGAATGCTTCTAAATTCAATGAGGTGAGTGTTACCTTGACTGCAAAGACAAATAAAGGCCCTACAAGATAAGAAAACCATAGCGCAATACTATTGATTAATCAAATGCAAAAGTCCTTAACAAAATGCTGGCAAGACAAACCTTCAGAAGCACACTAAAAATAATCACACATCATGACCAAAAGGGATTTATTCCTGGAAGGCAAGGGGGTTGCAACTTAGAAACAGGAATCCGTGTCACACTCCAAAACAACACAATAGAGGAAAAACCATATATTCATCCTAGTTGATGCACAAACTTCCGATTAAAAATGTCAACAGCGGCCGGGCTTAGTGGCTCACGCCTGTAATCCTAGCTCTTGGGAGGCCGAGGCGGGCGGATTGCTCAAGGTCAGGAGTTCAAAACCAGCCTGAGCAAGAGCGAGACCCCGTCTCTACTATAAATAGAAAGAAAT